CCTCCCCTGTGGATGACATAGAGAGTCATACCCAAACAAGTGTACGTAGAATTTTTAAAACATGTTGCCCACCCTTTCACAAATGCACATGTAAACTGATCGTGGAAATACAGCAAATCCCTGGTTCCCAACCTTCCACAGAAACATGTTGTCACCCAGAGCCTGTAGCTGCAGAACCTGAGCTGGATCTAAATTGGGCAGTGTCACCTCTCTCTGCCAGACATTTCGATCCTTTAAAGTTGCTTGACGTGGAGGTTATTTCGGTCATAAGACCAAGAACATGGAGAGTGGAAACATTTTTGTGGGACTAGTAAAACGGCCTGCACCATAAAAGAGCAGAGGAGTGAAAACGGATGTCATATGTAAACTAGAATAACATGTCAGTAACTTTTAAAAACATAGCTAACACTCACTTATTCATTCCGGGGAGGGCTTCTGGCTCATCGGCTATTTTAGGTTTCTTTACATTTGCTTTGAAAAGCTTTCTGTGGCTCTTTATAGCTGTTTTACCCAATCAGTTCCTTTTTACTTAGGATAATCTCAAGATGGGCTGCAGTCTGTGCAGACACACAGGCTGAGCAGCGAAGGGGTGTGAGCTGGGGATGTGCTGAGCTGATCCTTGGGACTTAGGATAAGCCTCAGAGACCCTCAGTTATTTCATTGCACCCTGGAAATTGTGAGCTGACTGTATCTTGTATGCCAGCATTTTAAGTATCGTAATCTCTCAATCATTCATGCTAATGAAAGAGAGATAGAGATAACAAAGAAAAGTGTAATCAGCAAATCATTTCTTTGCATCAAATCATTTCTCTTCATTGAGCTGTGGTCTCTGGGTTCTACCTTGAGTCCTCATGTCCATTAGCCCAGTCTCCAGAATAATACATAGTAGGTATTTAAAAAAAAAAAAATCAGTGCTGTAATTCTAGGAAATTTAGACGTGGCTGTTGTCATAAATGGATCTTCAGAATTGTGGAGACCTTCTGATTGCATTTTGGAGATTTCTAGTGACATTTTTAGAGCATGTCTTTGGAATGTGCCCTGCAAGGCTCATGCACTGCAGTTGGTTGCATGTGATTTGCCCTTGAGGTTTCGAGGGCCCTAACTCTCCCCCCTTTTTGCATGCAGTAATTGGATTTGCAGGAACCTGTTAGAACAAGAGGTGTTTCCTGTTTATGCACAGACCAATTCCAGTAGGACTTCCCCCTAGACGTTCTCTTTAAGGAAACTCTCCTTGAATTTCGATCACTTTCAATTACCTTTTCTTTTAGAAATGTTGGACCCCCTCGACCAACAGAAATGTTCCCCCTCGACCTCTCTGAAAGCTGTTCACTATAAATATGACCAGACAAACAAAGGAAGCCACAGGAAAAGAGGGGACGCCAGATGTCGCAAGCCTTATCTAAGTCCTGAAGGCTCACAGCTTAAGGCCCTTTGCTTGGCTTTCTTTCAGTTTTACTGTGATTATGACTTCGAATTAAAGTCCACTTACTATATGGAAGGTGATAACGCAGGATGGTTCTCCCCCTGGGAAAGCCCATGTAATACCTGGCCGCACCTCAGCGCTGTTGCCTTGACTTTAGGGTGAAAGATGCCTGCCTCCTGAGAAGTCACACAAAGTGGTTATTTTGAATGCTATGACACTTCCATTATCCTTTGGAATTCCGTTAAATTGGAGCTCATTTAGTTTGCCGTAGTCTTTCTTCTGTATCATAATGAAAAACAGTGAAAGTCAGGAGGTGGTTGTTTGTCACAAATAAAAACGGCATGGGTGCTAAATGGATTTTAGATCATCAACCCGTGCAGGGACAAATTAGATTGAAATTAGGCAAAATTAACATCCATGAACACAGCAGTAAGGAAATAAGTCTCCTTTTCAATTGAGCAGGTTCAACGCCTTCAAGGAAGGGAACTTCTAAGAGCCTCTGGCAGTGAAAATCAAAATTCTGTGCTTTAGATTATTTCTGCCCCCTGCTGGCTATGTGGAGTAGAACAATGTATTCAGCCACTTGATTAAGAAAGTCTGCCTTTTCTTTCTTCCTTTTCTTTTTCTTTTTTTGAGACGGAGTTTCGCTCTTGTTACCCAGGCTGGAGTGCAATGGCGCGATCTCAGCTCACCGCAACCTCCGCCTCCTGGGTTCAGGCAATTCTCCTGCCTCAGCTTCCTGAGTAGCTGGGATTACAGGCACGCGCCACCATGCCCAGCTAATTTTTTGTATTTTTAGTAGAGAGAGGGTTTCACCATTTTGACCAGGATTGTCTCGATCTCTTGACCTCGTGATTCACCCGCCTCGGCCTCCCAAAGTGCTGGGATTACAGGCTTGAGACACCGCGCCCGGCCGAAAGTCTGCCTTTTCAAAGATAATATCCATTTATCAGAGCAAAAACAGCATACTCTGATTCACTAAAATTTTTCTCGGTCTCAACTTTACTGTTAAATAAATGCCTCTTTTATATAATCTTAATGTCACTTCTTAGTTCATTTAATAGTCTTCATATTTTTAAAAATTGGTAACTTTACAGGTATGATTTTTCTTGATGTATTCTGAATTTTATATTTTATTCACACAGTCATACTGATTTATTTCCTTTGTAAAAACTTTCTCTTTCAAAAAATTTAATAGTTCTCCCCAGGAAATCCTCTTAAGGATTTCATTTTGTGAAAAATACTCTGGTTTGCTCAGATGTTATAAGACCTAGGGATTAGGCCGGGCGCGGTGGCTCATGCCTGTGATCCCAGCACTCTGAGAGACTGAGGCCAGCAGATTACCTGAGGTCAGGAGCTTGAGACCAGCCTGGCCAACATGGTGAAACCCCATCCCTACTAATAATAGAAAAATTAGCCAGCCGTGGTGGCAGACGCCTGTAATTCCAGCTACTCAGGAAGCTGAGGCAGGAGAATCGCTTGAACCCGGGAGGCAGAGTTGCAGTGGGCTGAGATCACACCATTGCACCCCAGCCTGAGCAACAAGAGCAAAACTCTGTTTCAAAAAAAAAAAGGGCTAAGGATTAATACTGTTAGGACTATTCATTACATACTCAGTATTTCCAAAGTGGCTATATTGTTTCATGCTGGTTATCCATGCAGTATTATCATTATAATGAAGTTTCAACTGCTAAGTACATGGCAGTGGGCAAGAAAGAGTGAAAAATGGGTCTCTGGGAGGCCAAAATAGGCATAGAAAATCTACGGGCAGTAGACTTCACATTTTTCTCAAGGATAAGCCTTGAACCTTGACTGAGTCTTTAAAAAGCCCAGTTACCTGTTTTCCCTGTTCCCAGCAAATAAAAATGGCAAAGGATATCAAGGATAGCCAGAGTAACAAAAATTAATTATAATAGTGATAATAGAGTTCCTGAGTGTGAGAGAAGAGCTCTCAAGCCATAAAGAACAGGTGGGGCGCGGTGGCTCAAGCCTGTAATCCCAGAACTTTGGGAGGCTGAGACGGGTGGATCACGAGGTCAAGAGATCGAGACCATCCTGGTCAACATGGTGAAACCCCGTCACAACTAAAAATACAAAACATTAGTTGGGCATGGTGGCGTGTGCCTGTAATCCCAGCTACTCAGGAAGCTGAGGCAGGAGAATTGCCTGAACCCAGGAGGCGGAGGTTGCGGTGAGCCGAGATCGCGCCATTGCACTCCAGCCTGGGTAACAAGAGTGAAACTCCGTCTCAAAAAAAAAAGCCATAAAGAGCAAATAAACCCTGAGGAAGAACTAAGGAACTGTATTTTTGCACAGTGATATATTTTCAACATATTATATCTCAGATGTAAGTATATATAATACATTAAACACATTAGGAAAATATTTACATTTTTTAAATACTGTTTTTACTTTCTCACTTAATAAGAACATTTCAGGTATTGGGAAAACCTACATTATCCCACAATGATTATTAACAGTGGTCCTCACTATTAAATCATCCTCTCTTTTCAGTCTCTATTCTTTTTAAGTTTCCTTAAGAAATGGTTTTATTTTCTCAACTTTGGAATGATTAGCAGGATGTGGTGATATTGTTGATTTATGTGTTTTTTTAAAGCTGAATTTATTAAAACACAACCTCTGAACCTTCTTAGGATCGATACACAGCCAGGAAAACAGAAACAATAGCATCTCTGTGGCCCCTCAGAATAAAAACATATATGTATTGATTAAGAAGATAGCATGTTGGCCAGAGTACAGTGACTCGCGCCTGTAATCCCAGCACTTTGGGAGGCCTAAGCAGGTGGATCACTTGAGCTGAGGAGTTCAAGACCAGCCTAGGCAACATAGCGAGACCCTGTCTCTACAGAAAATACAAAAAATGAAACCAGGCATTGTGGCATACACCTGTGGTTTCAGCCTCATGGGGGCCTAAGGCAGAAGGATCGCTCAAGCTCAGGAGGTCGACACTGCAGTGAGTCACGATCGCACCATGGCACTCCAGCCTGGGTGATGCAGTGAGATCCTGTCTCAGAAAAAAAAAAAAAAAGAAGACAGTATATTGACAAATCCTGATGATTTACCCGTTTCCCCTATAAAGGTATGCTTATTCTTTCATGATCTAAAGTTGACAATAATGACGATAATATGTCTTATTTCAGGGTCATCAATTGTTTTAATTGCCTTCTCTTTATGGAAAAGATGACCAGTTAATTATAGCTCCAAATAGCCCACACAGTACTCACAACAGTACAGATGCACACACACAGGCACACATTTTCCCCATCTAGTTCTGTACTCTACTGTTAAGTCCTTATTGACAATACTTAAAATTCACTGAAGAGTACTTTGGAAAATCTCAAATGGATATTCATAAGGGAATATTGTTTTCACGATGCAGCTTCTGATAAGAAAAAATTGTGGGTTCGGTCTTTCAGTGATAATTTGGGTGTATGATTGAGAGAGGCCCTTTTGTGATAGGGATCCCATAGTTCTTGTAAAAACAAGGGTAGTGATGAATCTATTTGCATCTCTTGTAAATAACTGCTGGTTGTTCTTTCTGTTTTTCTCCTTGAAGACATGACAATGGATGAAGTCCGAGAATTTGAACGAGCCACTCAGGAAGCCACCAACAAGAAAATTGGCATTTTCCCACCGGCAATTTCTATCTCCAGCATCCCCCTGCTGCCTTCCTCTGTCCGCAGTGCGCCTTCTAGTGCTCCATCCACCCCTCTCTCCACAGATGCACCCGAATTTCTGTCCGTTCCCAAAGATCGGCCCCGGAAAAAGTCCGCCCCAGAAACTCTCACGCTTCCAGATCTTGAGAAAAAAGCCACCCTGAATTTACCTGGCATGCACTCTTCAGATAAGCCATGTCGGCCCAAATCAGAGTAACTTTATAGAAATATCTCATGGGGTTTTATATTTTCGTTTTGTTTTTTTTTTTTTTAAGAATTTTCTGATAGAGAAAAAGACTGCTTTGTCACTCAAACATGTTCCTTCGAACTCTCAGTGTGCATGTGATTCAGTAACTTCACATAGAATATGATTACCTAAGTATGCCATACAGCATCATATTAGATGTAAGATGTAAGACCTGCAAAGGACAGAAGGAATCTTCTGTAACCACAGCTGTAAGCCAGAGAGGAAGCCTTGTTATTGGGCATTTGATGAGGTTGGCATGGACTTCAAGGATAAATGAATGAAAACTTTGCACCACTTTGTTACAAGGTATGGTAGGAAATAGTGAAGTCAGTTTCCTCTCATCAAATCTAAAATTCTCCAAAATACTCTCAGGCGTAACATGCTTAATTGTTAAGTTTTGAACTGCTAATTACCAATACTTGAATACCAATAGTTACTGAGACTCCTATTTTGGTTAGTCTGACTCAGGATTTGGGGCCTAATTAACTCTTTAAACTTTTGAAAATTTTAGTCATCAAGCTATAGAGGCTCCAAGTGCAATTAATAATAACTTATTTATACCTTCCACAGAATTTAATAAAGATTCTACTTGTTTCCGTCTTTTAATAACTTTCCCTTTGTGCCCTTGTGGCCTCAGAAATCCTTAAGAATTGCATGGATGAACGTGACCATAACTGATTTTAGAATGGTTCAGTTTAGGAACCAAGAGGTCCAGGTGAGGCAACAGCTTTTTTCTCTACAGGTACCAATAAACCTTGACTTGTCAGCTTCCGTCATCCATTAAGATCCTCAGAATTTGCAATTAATTGAATAGAATTCATTTACTATCTGCCCTCTCAAAGAAGTTCAAGGGCAGAGTAAGCTAACTGGGCTTACTATCAGAATGTCTGGTGCATGAACCATTAAAAAGAGAACTGTCTCCCATCCCCTTCCTTGTTTTACTCTTAGTAACATCCAGAATTCCCTGGAACAGATTGCCTAACCCTACCACCAGACCTTAGGAAAGACTGTCATTCTCTTACTCCTTGCTTGAAATACAAATATGGGGAAGTGACAGACATCAAGTAACTACTGTCAAGTAAGAGGAGAGAATGAGCGGAATTGCTGACTCCTATTTGTGGAGTAAAAAGGAGACGCGATAATAAATTCCCTTCTGTCTAGCTTTCCTTTCTTCAACTAGTGGTAATGCAAGATTAGAATCAAGGTTGACAGGAGGCAAGATCACTCGTGGAAGTGGCAGAAAGACAAATCTCCTTTGCTCTAAAGAGAGGAATCTGTCACCTTTGCACCTCACTGCCTTTAAACACAGACGGGAGGGCAGGCAGAATCTCAGCATTGACTTTTGTCCTCTGAGAGAGGAAAAGAAGAAGGTAATTGGGCAAATCCAAGGCCCATGCCCCAGCTAGCCTTCCTGATCGTAACCTCTAACCTCAGGAAAGGGACCTTCCCAAAACACAGATCCCAAAGGAAACAAAATAGACCAAGGAGCATATTGTGCTTCTCTCACACAGCCTCTCTGCCAGTGGACCCTGCCTGCTTCCCTCTCAGTGCTCAGCACTCTGAGTAGTGTCTTTCAGGTCGATACACTCTCCCAAGGTGCAGGCGCTGGCCCCATGAGCCCAGCACCAAAGTTTTCTAAGTCATAGGTCAGACTATCAAGATCATTTCTTTATCCATAGGTTGATATTTAGCTTAAAAAAAAATAAACCTAGAACTCAAAGGAAACCCATTACAAATAGCTTAGCTCAACAGTGTATCTCTTCCCTAAGAATGATAGTATCTTAGTAAGACACCTTCTATGCATGGTATGGAAGCATGATTTTTGCTTGTGGGAAAACTTAATCTTTTATCAAACCCCTCGGACTTCTCAATTCCTCCCTCCCCACAGTAGTACTTAATGAAAATGTTTTGCTTTAGAAAGCAAAATCCTACTTTTAGAAGACACTGAAATCATATATGTATTTGCTTACCATTTGCAAGCTGAAATCAAGGTGGGGTGGGGTCATTATTTTCATGTAGAATGTATTTATTTTGTGCAGGTTGTTACCACATCTGGCACCTAGTTTTTCCATTAATATCATTGCTATTTTCCCTTTTTATAAAGTAGCTTCCGCTGTCAAGGTCAACAATTCTATATGCTTTAGGAAGCTAAGGTCTAATTTCCTTTTGTGAGTCTCATTTCTTTTATAACCAGTGTGATACCACAGACATCAGTTGCAAAGCTACCATGATAGTGTGATTCTTAGCCAAAAAAAAAGTGTGTGCTCTTAAAGTATGTTCAGTTTTTCTGTCTCCATGTGCTTTGTGTGCATTAAAAAGGGGCTGGGGGGGGTGCAGACATTCCTTTAGCTGCTTTGCAATATTTAACCCAGTCATCAAAAGGCATAAATGACTTTCAATATTTGATATATCTTGGTTTTCAAATATCATTTTACATCCTCTATACATGACTTTGTTATTGTGGAATACAGGCCTGCCATGGATGTATATATACAGAACATTAATAATTCTTATAAGGGTGGAAGTCAAATGGCTGCATGATGGAAATTAGAAGAAAAAAAAAGCAGAAACTTGAATTTGCTAAGCATGTTTGGGGGGAAATAGAACTCTTAACTCAGTGCCTCTGTCTGCGATAGGGAAACCTTCAACTTTGTTCACCAAAATTGTATTATACCTGTGTATATATATATATATAAATATGAATATAGTAGAGTGAATCAGACACCATGGTTTTAAGTCTCTGGTAGCCAAGTTTAAATAAATAATCTATAGAATATCACATGTTCACCATCTCCATCTCTGAAGTTAGTGGACTTCATCAAAAAGACTGTAAATTTCATTACTCTGGGAGGATTTCAAATGTGAAATGCCTCTGTGTGTTTTGTTGGCCCAAGCACAGCATTCTTGCTTTAGCTGTGCTTTCCTAGGATGAGAAGATCTTGGTGTTTTTAACATATAAGCTTGGTTAGAAATCACCTCTGAAGATCATTTCATTCTCTCACTTTGGGCTGTTGCAAGACAAAGCAAAGGAAGATAACAACGAAGGAAGCCCGTGACATTTTAGTTACCACCGTTGTAACTCAGACAATAAGGGTTTGTTGGTGAACCGACTTATCAAGGCTTCTGTTACGGTTTTGCATCTGTATGTGGGGAAAATGATTTTAATTTATTTGGAAGTATTTATTAGCCATGATGTTGGTCCTGAAGATAAATCTCTAAGTAGCACACTTGTGGGTATATTATGCAGACACTTACGATACCTGCAAAAGTTACTGTGGTTTTTCTTTCAAGACACTGTGATCAACAGTGAACTAAGAAGAGATTCTGACACATCTCGATAAATCATTCTCTGCAAAAGTTTCAGGGCTAACGTATTTATGTCTATTTTTAAATTCTTTCTTTGGCATCTCTTCATGGCTCAGAGACAACAAGGTAATAAATAGGTCATTGGCTGGCTTAGGTCAACAGGAATTTTAAGAAGGGCCAGTGTATAACTGACTCTACATATAATGTGTAATCAGATAATCCAATAGAGAGGAGTTGCCCAAATGGCTTTAGTACCTTTCTGATCATCTGACTCAGCAGGCTAGGAGACAGTCTGTCATCTGAGCCATAGTTCATGAGATTTAAAAAGTCTGTCCAGTGACTGCAATCTGGTTATAAACAAACTATTTTAAACTATTCATTCTTGCTGAAACTGAAGTGTACACAATAGCACAGTGTTGGCATGCTGAGGCAAAACATTGGGTTTTGTGTTCTACCTTCGAAACAATCCATTTGCATTTGAAATATAAGTGTTTAAGCTTTTAGGCATTAGTGTAATAAGGGAACATGAATACGTTGGGAAATTTTCAGATGCCATTAATAATTGTAATTTTGTTGTTAAATTAACAAGTCCTTTAGGATAAGCCTCTTGATGTTTTTGCTTTAAACTGAAAGCATGTCTGTTGAACTGCAAATCCCCCTTCAGTTTCTATGTATCACCCAGAAGAGGTTCTTTGAGTTGCTGTTGTACCTATACCATTCACATGTAGTGTCAAGTGTAATTTTGTGTTTACACTCAAGCTGGGATCTTGACTGGTTAAATTAATCCACATACCACTGCCACTGCTGAAGGACCAGGTGTTGGCATACACAGCGTTACAGACTATAAGCAAAGCAAACAAAAGTTGATCCTCACATATGCCATCCTTCTGTGTCATTTTGTGGCTGTTCTGCGTTTATCTCCCTAGTTATTTATTATTGTTAATAACTTACTTTTTCTTACGTTCTGTTGTAAATAAAATATGAAGCAATCTTCTTTCCAAGTGTAGCTTCCTCTCTCTCTCTCTCTCTCTCTCTCTCTCTCTCTCTCTCTCTCTCTCTCTGTCTCCTTCAGCTGTTCTGGAGGGAATGTTAGCAATTGTTCGCTCGGGTTGATGGGCTTGTTTCTTTTCCTCTGGATTTTTTCCCATCCATGTGCCACTGCCACTGCTAAAGGACAACATGTTGGGATACACAGCGCTACAGTCTATAAGCAAAGCAAACAAGAGTTGATCATTACAGATGTCATCCTTCTCTGTCATTTTGTGGCCTTGCCTGCTAGTAGGCATGTGGCACCTTCAGGACCCTTGTTTTTAAAAAAAAGCCTGAGTGTCTGCACTAATTATCCAGTCAAAAAGTACATAAGGTGGCCAGCCAGGCCAACATGGCAAAACCCCATCTCTACTAAAATACAAAAATTAGCCAGGCGTGGTGGCACACATGAGAATCGCTTGAACCCTGGAGATGGAGTTTGCAGTGAGCCCAGATCACACCAGTGCTGTCCAGCCTGGGTATGACAGAGCAAGGTCCTGTACCAAAAAAATTAAAACCCCAGCCAGACACGGTGGCTCACAACTGTAATCCCAGTACTTTGGGAGGCTGAGGCAGGTGGATCACCCGAGGTCAGGAGTTCAAGACCAGCCTGACCAACATGGTGAAACCGGTGTCTACTAAAAATACAAAAATTAGCCGGGAGTGGTGGTGCATGCCTGTAATCCCAGCGACTTCGGAGGGTGAGGCAGGAGAATCGCTTGAACCTGGGAAGTGAAGGTTGCAGTGAGCCGACATCACGCCACTGCACTATAGCCTGGGCAACAAGAGTGAAACTCCACCTTAAAAAACAAAAAAATCCAAGGTAAACCTATAACCCAGTGGGATGCAAATATACTCATGCACGCATCCACCAGGGGTTTGGTTTCCCCTTCTCAAATGTGAAGCTACCCACCCCAGGGGAATTGGTAGGAACACCATCCCAGTGGGACACTTAATTGGGCCATTTTTAAGGTGAGCTGAAATCACTCTGATATGGTTTCTACCTTTCAAGTAGCCCCTGTGCACAAAAGAGTTCTCTGCAGATGAGTAGTCTGAGGACAGAAAATTTTTTTCTTCTTTCATTTCTTTTTTTTTTTTTTTTTTTTGAGTCTTGCTCTGTTACCCAGGCAGGAGTGCAGTGGTGTGATGATCATGGCTCACTGAAGCCTTGACCTCCCAGACTCAAGCGATCCTCCTACCTCAACCTCCAGATTAGCTGGGAATACAGGGGCACACCATGACACCAAGCTAATTTTTTATTTTTTGTCGAGACGGGTTAAACTATGTTACCCAGGCTGGTCTTCAACTCCCAGACTCAAGTGATCATCTCGACTCAGCCTCTCAAAGTGCTAGAATTACAGGTGTGAGCCACCTTACCCAGCCAGAAATACTTTCTAGCCTGCTCTTTAGTCTCCTGCTAAAACAGCACATGCTCTCACTCTGTTCTCTCCTCTTGAATCGTGTCAATATCCACATCCTATGTTCTAATCTCTGATTGGATCAGACACACAGCTTCATAGAACAGCACACCATCAGTTGGCTTTCTATGCTGAAAATTTTCCTAAAATCATATTGCATCGTTCCAATTAACAAAAACATGCTTGCTTTTGTAGCTCCAGCTTCACCATTACCATCCCCACCCTGCCTTTTACTTCTTTTTTCAAAACACACAAACTTTCCACACATTGTTGCTGGCCAGCTTTCAGCCGGTGAACTTGGCTACAGCCAGGCTGGGTGTTTATTGCTGCGGCCAAACTATATGGGTGGTTAAATATTTGGATGCCTAATGTTAAAAATACATATATATGTTTGTGTCACCCCCAATTTCCTACCACAGCTTTTCATCAAGGCATTATCTCATTTGAGCATTACTCTTTAGATTTCCAAACACCCACATTCCTTTCTATAACGTCCTTATTTCCTTCATTACATTCTACTTGGGGTTTCTTGCATCTGACTTCCAGCTGCATCTTGGCCTCTCAAGTTCAGAATAATCATGCAACCATCCTCCAACCCTGTCATGAAATATCCCTCTATGAAACTATCACCCTCAGCCGGGCACAGTGGCTCATGCCTATAATTCCAGCACTTTGGGAGGCCAAGACGGGTAAATCACCTGAGGTCAGAAGTTTCAAGACCAGAGCCTGACCAACAGGGGGAAACCCCCATCTCTTCTAAAAATATAAAATTAGCTGGGCATGGTGGCACATGTCTGTAATCCTAGCTACTCAGGAGGCTGAAGCAGAAGAATCGCTTGAACCTAGGAGGCAGAGGTTATGGTGAGCCAAGATTGTACCATTGCACTTCAGCCTGGGCAACAAGAGCAAAACTCTATCTCAAAAAAGAAAAAGAAAAGAAAATGTCACCCTCAGTCCTGAAGCTTTGATGCCTTTGGAACAACAATCTGTGTGTGTGCACACACAGTTGTGTGCGTGTTTAACTCAGTGTGGTTGATCCAGGCAAACCCAGACTGACTTTCTTTGCCTAACATACCTGCCCTCTGACATTTCATCTTCTGACAAATCCTCCTTTTCCCACAGTATGCAACCTACGAGGATATCCCATTCAAATCCAAATCTCCAAGTGCTTCCCTGCTCCTGAGAAAGTTGGAAGCAGGCTGGGACTTTGCTTTAGTGCTTTTGCTCTGTTCCCAGCCTTGAGGAATGGAGCCAGCCTGTGGCCAAAGAAACCTGACACAGCTTCAGAACCTAATGAATCAGCCATTTAGTGCTGGTGAATTAACCGGCTGAATTAAGCACCTGGGATTTAAGGGCGAATCGTGTTTAACTGTAAGTACCAATTTTCTCCACCGGAAGCAGACACGAAAGGCTGGATCATCACTTCCCCTGCTTTAGCTTTTAGAGGAGGGAGTTTTGAGCGCTCTGTCCCTGAAGGGCATTTGAGGGTGGCCAAATCTGGACTTCTGTGATTTTTTTAAAAGTTTTATTCCAAAATAACTTTCTTCCTCCCAAGAGACTCTTCATGCAAAAGGCTGGCAGTTTACAGCTCATTAGCAACCCTTGAGAATCATTTTGTGCTCTCAAACATACCAGTGATTATATTCAGAGTGTTCAAAGACAGCTTGCTGCTTTGTGTGTGTAGTCAGTCAACAGCACTGAATACATATTTTGTCTGTTCTCAGGAGACAACTTGAAAATTTAGAAAGATTCTACAAGTTTAAAATTTACCACTGTCATCTTAAAGTTACTGTATTTCTTTGCATTTTGCTAAAAATATATAAATCCAAGAATGTGACTTTTCACCTTCATTAAGTACTTTAGAATTTGTGTTCTGTACAGGATAATCCATACATGCCTGTCTTTCTACAAAATGCTTAGAAGATTTTCTAATTGTTTTATAAACATCTTTACGTTTGGTACATGGCATGTTTATCATTTTTCACAGCCATATAATATTCCATTGGGTTGAAAATCTGTAACTTAAACATTCCTTTGTTACTTAGCATTTAAGTTATGTTATTATTATTATATAAAGCTCCATTAGGAACATCTTCACAACATAGCTTATGTCTTCTTTTTAATTATTTGTTCTGGATAAATTCCCAGAAATTGAATTACTGGGTCAAAGGATATAAATATTTTCCTGACTTTGGGTCCTTACTGCCAACATCCCCTCCAAAGAAAATTATACCAATTTACAGTTCCACTGACAATATCTGAGTGAAAACATGTGTCTCTTTAAACAAGTATTTGCCGTTGTAAAAGTTCACCATTCTCAACTTATTAAGCAATTGCCACCATCCAATTCCCATATAAGTCTTTTGTTAGTTTAATGTATTAATAGGTCAAATATCCTTATTTTGGGTAGGCATGTAACAAAGAGAGCACTTAGACACAAAGAAGCTCTCTGAATTATTTAAATGTTCAGTGCCTTCTCCAGCCTAGCTAACAAGCTGCAGAAACATTTGACTGGCTACTACAGAAACAAAAGCCTAACTTGAACATAAGGAACTGCATTTAATTGAATAAACAAACATCAACTCTAAGTCATTCTGTTTTCACACTTTCGGTGGTAACAAACATGGAATGCATCTTTACTTGAAGTTTTCCTGAAAAACCACCATGTAAGTGCCAAAAAGTTTTTTTTTTTCCTTGAACTAAGAAGGAATCGGTTAAAAAAAAAAGAAAGGAAAGAAAGAAAAAAGGTAAAAAACCCTCCAGCTCTCTTACTGTTATTTTAGAATCAGTGATTCCCAGATTCTAGCAGAACCTTGATAAAGACAAAGCAGAGTCCTTCCAAAGTCTTTGATTTAACTTCTTGGGAAGCAACGTGATGATGGATTGCACACGTGCTCCAAAAAGGGAAGAAATAGTCAGTACATAGCACTCTTTTCAGCCATGTGTGAGCCATTCCTAGGAGAGGAATGGTCATTTTTCATACATAACAAGGTATAAAATTTACATTCAAGTTAGTTTGGAATCTGACTTCAGTGTTTACTTTTTTTTTTTTTTCTTTTTTGAGACCGAGTCTCATTCTGTATCCAGGCTGGAGTGCAGTGACATGATCTTGGCTCATTGCAACCTTCACCTCCCGAGTTCAAGTGATTCTCTTGCCTCAATCTCTAAGTAGCTGGGATTACAGGCACATACTACCACACCCAGCTAATTTTTGTATTTTTTTATTAGAGACAGAGTTTCACCATGTTGGCCAGGCTGGTCTTGAACTCCTAACCTCAAGTGAGCCACCTGCCTCGGCCCCTCAAAGTGCTGGGATTACAGGCATGAGCCACTTCCCCTGGCCCAGTCTTTACTATTTTATTGTCAGTGTTGTGTGTTTAATTATTTTGAAATAATTATAGATTCATAGAAAGTTGCAAAGAAGTATACAAGATGGCCCATACACCCTTCACCCAACCTCCCCTGATGATAATGCCTTGAATAACTATAATAGTACATCAGCTGGGCCCAGTGGCTCATGCCTGTAGTCCCAGCATTTTGGGAGGCT